TTCCTGCTGCTTTATATTCTTTCTTGCACATCTTTCCTTACCCCTAAAGACTGACACATTAATAAAGGATTGCATGTCAAGGAGAACAAGGTAATGGAGAAGAAAATCATGTTCTAATTCGACTGAAATGTTCTAAATTCACTCACTTATTTCCCCAAAGATAATTTTGCCATACTGAGTTTTCCTGTCAGTTTTAAAAAAAACAATTAGAAGCTCCAGTGTGTTTTTTTTCTCTCTCACTTTTTAAAGAATTTTGTAGTGCTGTTTGTATTTGCCAGCTTTATAATGTGACTTTAAACTCTAGCATTCAGAGTAACTTTAGTAAAGCTCATCTGTCTGTATAATGTATACAGTATTCCTAGATGAGAAAATGTATGTATACTTTGAAACTACTATCATCTTCCATGGTACAAGAATTAAATACATATAATCAGAGTTCTATTTAGATATGCAAACCATGTCTGTGAATGAGGAATATATTCCAAAAGCAGTCCACAAGGAGATTTACGTAGAACCTAGTTTTGCCACAAGTGCCCAGAGCTAATATTACCATAAACATATGCAGTACTTTCTAACCTCTCATCTTGATTATTCTTCTTTTGCAATGTTTTTACATCAGATTAGGCTGGGACCTATTTTCAAGCAGGAAGTCAAACAGATAACACAAACACAAAGGCATGTTGTTGTGTTTTGGTAGTCTTGAAACAGATGTTTGTCTCCAACAGTACCATACCTGCCCAAGTACTGCAAAGCATTAAGCTTTTACCCCCCTTTCTTAGAGAAGCTTAACATCAAATTCTGTCCTCTGAAAAATAATACAAGCATTCTCTCTTTCTATGCTAGTGAAAGATATAAAAAGCAGTTTTGATGACACATTAGATATCCAAATGCAAACAACCACAACAATCTTTACACCTGCAAAAGCAAACAAATAAGTCCAAAAGTAGCTTTTAATCCTGAAGTTTCCTAAATGCATAAATCTGTCCTGTTGGATAGGCACACAATCACGTAAGTCCTGATAGTGCTGAGAGACTCAGCACATAAGCATCAGTAAGACTTTCAAATGTCTAGGAGGTGATGGGACTGATCTAATAGGCAACCTCAACACCTGTTTAATTGTGAAATGAAATACAATAAAGGGGAAAAATGGTAGCGGCCTTCTCTAGGAACTACACTACTACCTCTAACAACTTGTACAGGATGTGAATTTTCTAGGTTCAAATCTATTCGGTTCTTAGAAACATTCTCCACAGATTTTGCTGGAAGGTGGTCTGGGGTTTTTTTGGTGGTTGGTTTTTTTTTCTTCTATACTTTTAAACTGCTTGTTCTAATAAGGCATTAAGGACTACTAGCAGTAGTCTGATAACAGTAAATTAAACTTCGTATTTTTTTTAATCAGTAAGCTTTTTGGTATTTGTTCTAACTTTTCTACTAACCCATATAACTAGATAATAAGGACTTATTGTGGTATGCTTAAATGAATTAAGATACCTGAGATGTGTTAGCAATTACTTAAGTACTCTGGATTCTTATGCTGCAATTTGGTGCGTTAAGGTACATCTCTGTTAACAAAAACTGCACACTTGAGTAGTATCTATCGTTGAAATACCATTTCCAAGTCTAGACTGAATGCAAGCAGGAATCTTATGTCGACTGAGTTAATAATTTGCATTTTACTTATTTAATTTTTTCTGATTTTACATTTAACCTTTACTATACATAAGTAAGATGAATAGGATTCTTTAGGCTTTGTTCTTACATTTCTCAGTAATCTGATGGATGCTATCAATAACGCTTACCGTTTCTGACCTCGTTCTGTATGGTGCCATATCGCAATGTCCTATATACAAATTAGTACTATAAGCAACAATCTTTTTCCTCAGTTTTCTTAGATCTGGTCATTTCATAGTTGAACATAGCAAATTTTGTTTTAGTTGCAAACATCCATGAGTTAAAATGAACTCAAATATAAGTTCTCCTGTAGCTCTTTCCTTTAGCAATCTATATCAGTCCTTGACACATTGCTCTTCTGTTTCTGTCTGAACAATGTTAAAATTTTAAAACTCCCTGATAATTTTTTCGAAGTCTGTGTGGTGCTCAGCAGAATAGATTCTCTAACAGTCTTTTCAGTGACTTATGGCTTGTTTCAATCTTGACACAACTGCTTCCCTACAGAGCATCTTTTTCAGGAGGCTGGAATGTCCCTCATACTAAAAATGGTAAAATTGTTTTGCATTTCCTTGTGATTGAAATGTCTACTTTACTATAACTTTTCTTCTGTCTCAGAGGGGTAATCACCAGTGCAGGAGGAGCTGTAAGGGTACAGACTCTCCCAGGACAGGAGAACTACCCTGCTGTAAATGCCAACGGGATCCAGTCTCAGGTGCTCGCTAGATGGGCTTCATCTTTTTCAGTGACTCGTAGGTGGATCACACTTATTATTTTGCATACTCTATTTGAAATGTTAACATAACTCAAGGACACTTCTTCTGTATGCATAAACAAATGTGATTTTGTATAGTACCAAAAGTTTTTCACTTTTAACTTCTTATTTTATCCTTATTTTTCCACAATTTCCTTAAAATACTATTTCAGCTAGGCTAGTCAATCTGTAATTGAAGCTGATACATGAAAATGTATCACAACTATTCAGAATATAATTACATGAAAACAAGTAGTTGGCAGTGTGACAATTAAAGACAATCTAAGTTGGTGCTTCCTCACTGCAGTTGCGGTCCTATCCTCCCACCACTTCCAGCCTTACAGTTTTAGTCCTTCTCTTCTCCTAGCTGCACAGTCCCATGCCTGCCTTTAGGCAGGCAGGAACACTTGTCAGGCCATATGCAGAGCTTATTTAGGGCATCATGCAAACAGAAAGCTAACCCTCCAAAAACAGGAGTAATGTCACCTTAGGTTTAATGTGGTCATTAAACCACAATGCGATACATTTTTTTTTTTTTTTTCCCAGAAGTCTTTGTCCATGCAGTTGAGATACAGTATCTGATTGCAAATAAGCTGCTACTCCCTGCCGCTCTGGCTCATTTAAGTCACCTCATAAAAATAGAGAAGCCTACTGGTTATACATTCTATTTTGGTTTAAAAAACATTAAACTAAGGCTGTGTGTCTTCTGGGAATATTCTTTCAGAGTCTGGGAAATGAAACTCTAATATAAAGCATGTTGTTTACATAACTAAAATTCAGCCTATTATCTCTAAGACACTAGTAATCCTTCGATTAAAGTTAATAGCTAAGAACTTGAAACTACAGGTACTTTCAGTGAAGGTACAAGTGACCTCAATTTCTCCAAGATCAAGCCCTGAATTTATTTGCTAGAAATAATGTACCTGCTACAGCTCAAAAACTCTTGTTAATTAGATATGCTATAATTACTCATAAGCTGTTATTTTTTCAAATTTAGAAGCACAAAGGAGAAGCTTATTACCCAAAAAACAACCACTGCAGTACTGGATCTCACCAAAGATCTGTCTAGGCCAGTGCCTACCTCCAAGAGCAGCTAGTAGAGGATGATGAAGAAAGTATTGGAAACACAGTGTTCTTCAAGCACTTGTAATTTCATATAATCACTGAAATGCAGTAAATCTATCCTTTCAACATTTTAACAGGTACCAAGAACATAGCACTTGAAGCTGTTGGACGATCAATATCAACAGCACGTCCCTCTACAGGTATGAGATCTCTGCAACTGAGATAATTAACAGTAGAAGCCTCATATGATAAGGTGTGCTGCACCGCATGAATGCCAGACTAAAATGCCGTATTTCATGGGCTTTGTTTACTTTTAAAGAAGAAAATACACATAACATCTGTTTTTGCAGTATATCTTTCATCAGCAATAAGAGGAATCACTTGTAATATTTAAGTGATATTCATGTAAATCAAGAAAAATTTGAATGAATTTAGAATAATTATATAGGTAACATAAAAAGGAAAGAGTTTGTGAGCTCATGGGAAATTCGTTACTATTACGTGACAAAGACGACAGATAATGCATTTGTTCTTACAGAAATAAGCTAATGTCAGGATAACATTGTGACATATGGTGATAAAAGTAAAGATGATCTCATTGCTACTCAAATAACAGTTGATAGGCTTTACAAATTTTTTTTTCCCCTTTCCTAGGCCTGCCTGTTAAAAGACCATGTTATCAGTTCTCATTATGAGTTTAATGCTACCAACACTGTACAGAGTTGTTGTGCTTGTACACATAAAGAATTATGATGAATACAAAATAAACAACTGTGCTTTCCCACTGAATTTTGCACCTGCGTTCACACATTTTCAGTTACTGCACTTGAAAAAATGATAAAAATGACACCTACCATTATAGGTCAAATAGTTAAAAAGTTAAAAAAAACACTCTGGCAGTATACTTCAAAAAATGATGTGATGCAATAAACTTAAGACAGATACATGCTGCTGGTGACATCAAAAAATACATGCAGGAAGGGATTTCAGAATTTTGTATCTCTTCTGTGAGACAGAATTGAATGTGCCTAGCAGATCTGTGCAGTTTTATTTATTAAAAATCTACACAGCCATTAAATCTCCCTATTTAATCTTCTCCAGTTCTAACTAGTCTTAATTGCAAAAAAAATTCCTGTCAACTAATCTCCATCTTTGTTGCTGGAAATTAAGCCAATCACTTCTTCTTATCCAACTAGTGACAGTCAACAGGCTGCTGTCCTCTTTAAACCAACGTAAAACATTGTTGCATTCCCTTTTGCTTTCTGTGTCCCAGGCTAAACAAATCTCACACTTTCAACTTATCCTTTTAAGGACTGTTATCTAAATGCCTCAGCATTTTGCTTTCTCTAGACTCTTACGTTTGCCTGCTTCAACAATACGTAGTACTGTTAAAAAGAACACAGTAGCTGAGACCTCAGCAGCATGCAGTGATTGTCTCCTAGATCTGACAGAGAATGTCAAAACATCCTAGGGGGACACTTGTCTTTTTCAGCACCACATTGCTGGTTGTACTCAGTTTGCTGTCCTCTGTTATCCTACTATTGCTGCATTTTGTATCTCTATATTTGATTTTTTTTTTCTTTCTTAAAGAGTACTACTTGGAGTTTATCCTTGCAGAATTTTATCTTGGTGTGTTTTTTGAGTCACCATTCAATTATCACAATAATTTTGAATTTTAATTCTGTCCACTCACATAGTAACAACCTTATCCCACCAATACTATCTGGAAACACAAGTCTCTTTTGTCTTCAAATTCATTAAAGAAATATTAAATCGTATCGTACTTTCTTGTCAGAAAGTAAAATTAGAATTAGTATATGATGATTGTTTTTGACAAATCCACATGGTTATTCCTTAAGAATTTATAAATACAGAGATGATCAGTTAGCCGAATGTTCATTTTAGGAATTATTATTAAATAGACTAGGCTATAATTTTCTGACTTCTTTCTGCTCCTTAACATGAAAAAGTGCTTGCATTTCTCCAGTCCTGCACAACCTCTTCTAGCTTCTTGAACAAAGCAGCTGATGCATAACAATACATTATGGTAAAGGATAAATACATATTCTAAGTTAAGCACTGATCTATAGTGTTTTTTTTCTTTTACAAAAGCAGCACAGCTAGATAGAAAATGTGATCCTTGCTGTCGCTGAAAACCCTTGGTGAGCTTGTAGCCTGTACTCATGGTAATGTTAGTTAGTGCACTTCTTAAATAACTGTTTTGATGACGACGAAAAGTATAGAACAAAATGAAGTTACTTCTTTACAAAGCTGCGTTTCTAGCTATCCTGAAACATTTCATCATTCCTACGCTAAATCTCATCTCTTCACCCGTTTCCTTTCATTTCAGTTCTTAGTTGTTCTATATTTTATCGCAATTACCACTCTGATCACATGGAACAAACAGGCATGGCTTTGAATAGCGTATTTTTCTTTCACTGTGGGTGATATGTACTGTTTACAAAGGGTCATACAGTAACTGAAGTTCCACACTTAAAGGGGATGAGAAGGAGAACAAGAATATGGCATGCATCCTTAGTACGCTGCCTCATTATCCATGTTATCAAGTTGAGTGCTATGACCTCTGAGCTACTAAGTGAAAAAGTAGACATCTTCGTTAACAGTAGGGCTGAAACAGTAGACATCTTGCATTTGAAAGCCATGTGATAGCTAAGTGCTGTCAGGACTCAAGTAGCAGAAATCTAGTTGCCATGTGAATTTCTCCACCGAAAATGCTGCCAGTAAAAGACTGATGATACATGCCAAAAGGCTACATCAGTTCTTATGAAGGCCAGTGATATATAAATATCGGACTTAGATCTTGTCTGTGAGTAAAACCTTTGATTTACAGTTTAAGTCCAAATTTGCTTCTAAAACATTAAAACTGTACACTGTTCTAACAGAGAAATGGTAGGACTTGGGATGGTGAGCTACAGAAATCCACCCAGCTTTCTATCTAAGTTTCAGTAAATTTGGTAAGTTTCTACACCTAGGCAGGTGTAGAAAGGCAGGTTAAACTGTTCTGTTTGAAAAAGAATATCCTCCAGGGAGCAAAGCAGTAGTAGTGCAAGCTTAACTATTAACTGATTGAAGGGCAATGTTGCCCCATGCCAGTTCTTAATCAGGATATTTTGTAATGTAGTTCTTAGCATACAAGCTTTTTACAGTTCACTTCATCTGGCTGTTTTTGTTCTTAAATAATCTATGCTGTTTCCTTCATTGAAGGCAAAAGACCTAAGAAGCCCCTTGAGAAAAAGGCTGGAAACAAAGGTAGGAACCCACAGATTTAACTTCTGCAAAGTAAAATCCTAACATTTATTTGGTGTTAAGTATTCTATTTACTTTGGATATTTGCAGACTGTAAAGCTGATATTGCATTTCTCATTGATGGAAGCTACAATATCGGCCAGCGTAGATTTAATTTGCAGAAGAACTTTGTTGGAAAAGTAGCTGTGATGTTGGGAATTGGAACGGAAGGGCCTCACGTGGGAGTCGTACAAGCCAGGTAATAATAGATCTACATGAAACACAACTGAGTAATTAATAAGAGAAATCAATTAATAGAACAGAACAATGTTTGAGTAGTGGAACAGAAACAGCTGTAACTGTAATATACAACTGAAAATCAGTCATGAGGTTCTTAATGCTTAATACATTAAAAAAAAACTTTATTTTAATTTGTCTCCTTCCTTAAATAAAGAGTGAAACCTGGAAACTCAGTTTAGTGACAATGTTTCATTTCTTAAATGGAGTCAGTAGCTAGTGCAGCTGGTAGCCAGTACACTTTTCAAATTAAAAAACTCAAACTATTTTAATTTCACAGGAATTTTTAAAAACTACAAGATAGTTATCACACAAATAATAGAAAACCTGCCAAATTTGTTTATCAATTACACAAATACATTTAGTTTGAAATCCGGCATGTTCAAAATTTATTTCTGGATGGATATTCAACCTAATACTTTAAGTTGTTTAATAAGCTTAAGAATTAGCCTCTTCCTCATTTACCTGGTTAGGTAAACAACTCCTCTTGCATAGGGTTGTGAGAATTATTAAGTTAGGAGCATTCTTCTATTTTAGTAATTAAGAAAGTTTGTAGTTCTCTTTTCCCAGCAAAGCTCATACCACTATGGCATTAGCAAGCTAAAATACCAGTTTGAATCACTTTATTGTTGGTCATATAAACTGTGATCTCTTTTTTAATATTTTATTTTGCCACAGTGAACATCCAAAAATCGAATTCTATCTGAAAAACTTCACTGCTGCAAAAGATGTTTTGTTTGCCATAAAGGAATTAGGGTTCAGAGGAGGCAATTCTAATACAGGTGAGTTCATTCTTCCACCTAAATAGAAATTACTTCATTTTATATGTTTAAAAAAAAAAAAAAAAAACCACACACACACACAGATATATACAAATATATATATATTATATATATGTTTTATATATATATATACACACACACATATATACACGCACTGAAGTATGTATGCTTCAGTTCTGTAAGAAAAAGTGTTTTAAATGACAAGCTCCTCTTAGTCAGGTCAATATTTTGCGTTAGAACATTGACATATCTTACATTTGGTTTTCAGAGGTTAAGGTTGCTTATTATACAATAATTAAAGCTAAGTTTGAGTATCATTTCCCATGTTTAAGTAGAATTTTTTGCTGGTAATTGTGTAATTTCTTGAGACAAATTCACATCTAATAGGTTCAGCATTTCTTTCTCATTGACTGGCTAATTAAAGAGTTAGAATAATCTGGGAATAAATAGTAAGTAGCTGTGAAGAAATGTCTGACAAATGAAGAGACCGAACATTCCAAATATGTTTTATTTCATATTCTTATCTTTATCACGAGATAAGTACCTCCTCAGCTTCCTTCCTTCCAGTTCACTTGGCAGGCACTAACATATCTGCTTCCTAGTACTATGCTAGGCCTATGGGAGAAAAAAAGTTTTTCTCACATCTGTCAGTTTTCCAAGTTACAGGTTGCTCAAACTTCATTATTACGCTGATTTCCAGGGATACTCTTAAATCATAACATAACATCACAACAACAATTCTTAAATCATAGCAAATCATAACAACATAACTGCCCATGCAGTTGCTTCCCTGTTACACTTCCATATCTGAGAGCAGGATTTGGCTAGTCACCTAAATAACCTTTGAAAACTTTGTTTTTATAACAATCTAATTTTCTCTACGGTTAAAGGACAAGGATTATGGGACAAGAATAGCTTTTGGTTTATTATTTTCAGGAAATAACAGAGTTTGAATGTCATTGTTCTGGGGTTCTCCCCTATCCCCCATCAGGTTATCTTGGAAGCATCAATTCAAAATTAAGTAAAATAAAAATGCTTTTATTTATAATACTGTTAGTATTATAATCTAGGAAAGGATTATAATCTGCTTGTTTATGGTAAACCAAAATAACTTCTCCTACAGTCGTTACTCCTTTTACCAGATGTTTTTAAGCCTCTTTGCCTGCGGTTGGTGTTCAAGTTCTAGAGTGCCTCAGTTCAGTTACTAGCAGAATGAACCAATTATCTAGTTTTTCATATTGCATAGAAGGCTAAAATCCAGCACAACTTCATTGGAATGGTAGGGAATTGGTACTGAAATGTAATCACATTATTTCTTCATATTATTTTTCGGTTCAAAATTAGGGAAAGCTTTGAAGCACACAGCTCAAAAATTCTTCTCTTTGGAAAACGGAGCCCGCAAAGGAATTCCCAAGATCATCGTAGTGTTCTTAGATGGCTGGCCCTCTGATGATATAGAAGAAGCTGGTATAGTGGCCAGAGAATTTGGGGTCAATGTATTCATTGTGTCTGTAGCAAAACCCACAACTGAGGAGCTGGGGATGGTGCAAGACATTGCTTTTGTTGACAAAGTAAGTAATATCATTATTCACTTTCCAATCATAGGTATGATTCTAGAGAATTTACTTCATCCTAAAGCCCTAATGAATTAATTCTTACATATGTGTGTGTATATCATCTCGAAAAAGCAAAAAAATTTATTCCTGCTCCTAAGTGATTTAAAAGACTATCACCAGGAAACCTAAAACATTGGGACTGCAAATTTTAAGTTTATCATCTCACTAAATTACATACTACCATTGTGAGGTTGTTTTTTTTTTTTTTTCTCCTCTCTGATAATTGGTTCACACAAAGGTTATCCTAAAGGACTACCGCTGTCCTCACAGTTCAGAGCCTTGGACTTTGTAATCAAATGACGATTCTCAGAATAGGAAATCCCCTATATTAGGTATGGGTATGGTTGAGTGTGTCAAAGCAATCAAATGCAGGTATGTGATCTCCAATCCTGAAATGGCAGAAATGGAAGACGTGCGTTTCAGCACCTGCTCTGTGGAGGATTGTTTATTTACTTTTACCACAGAGACATGAAAGATTGAAAAATACATCCTAGTATAGCATGTTGACAGGCAAGGCATTCATCTTGGCTGAAAAGTTACAGATCTTGCTCTGTACAAGTCAGAGCAGGAATCTGAACACAGGTTTTCTGCTCCCACATGAATTTTTAAGCATTAGGTCATTGCTTACTAACCAGTGAGAAAATCTCTCATTTTTCATGGGGAGGGTTTAGAAAGTTCATAGCTCAGAGCATGAATAGAAAAAGTGCTGAAGCTCTCTTGCTTCAAGACACAAGATAGCTCGCTTCTGATCCCAGGTTTATTACAGGCAGGTCCAACTCTTTTATGTGCTTGTAGGCACAGAAGTACATGACCTTAGGTGACTGAGGCCTGCCCTCCCCTTCTGCGTTTTGATCTTAACAGATTAAATATCACCTTGGAGAGCTGATTTTTTTAAGAATCCTTCTCTCAGTTACCTAGCATTCTATGAGCATCTTATGGAATCGGGGAAAAGGAAATTGCACTTTGGAGGACCTAGAACTAGACTTCAACCCAATCATATGTCTGTTTTCTATGGCGCATTATAGATTTTTTTTTTTTAAAAAGTGCTTGCTAGGTTAAAATGTAAAGTATAAAAGCCTAATTTCCAGTGAATAAGGAAAAATATAGAATTTGCAATCCTTTGGATATTCAGTAGCCATGACTTAGGTCACTTTCAGAAAATGTAATTACAATTTCCAGTTCTTACACTTTTTAAGAATAACATGAAAGTCCTTGAAATTTCAGGGGTGGGGAGGGTTGACCCAATTATTGCATGAGACAAATTGATACAGCTTCCACTAACTTCAACTGGAGATGTTTGTACGCTTTTTTTAAGGCGGGGGGTGGGGGGGAACCAACATCACATATACCATCAGGCTACAATTCTTATCTGCCTTTGAAACAAAATCACATAGGTGTTTGATTCATTATGCATACAGCAGAAGTGGCAGTATTTACCTTTTGACTTTTTGTTTTTAAATAGGCCGTCTGTCGAAATAATGGCTTCTTCTCCTACCAAATGCCCACCTGGTTTGGTACTACTAAATATGTAAAACCTCTTGTCCAAAAATTGTGTTCACATGAGCAAATGTTGTGTAGCAAGACATGCTACAACTCCGTCAACATAGGTTTCTTAATAGATGGTTCTAGCAGCGTTGGAGACAGCAACTTCCGCCTTGTGCTTGAATTCATCAGTAATGTTGCAAAAGCTTTTGAGATCTCTGATATCGGTTCCAAGATTGCAACTGTGCAGTTCACATATGAGCAACGTACCGAGTTCGGCTTCACTGACTACACCACAAAAGAAAAGGTTCTCTCTGCTATCCAGAATATTCGTTACATGAGTGGTGGCACTGCTACCGGTGATGCCATTTCTTTCACAACAAGAAGTGTATTTGGGCCAATGAAAGATGGACCCAATAAGAATTTCCTTGTTGTTTTGACTGATGGTCAGTCTTATGATGATGTTAGAGGGCCTGCTGCTGCTGCACAAAAAGCAGGTAAATGATCTATCTTTAAAGGTAGTGGAAACTTGATTTATTCTATTTCTGCTGTATTGTAAATATCAAGAATTTAAACAAGTTTGCAAATACAGCCGCAGTGAGTTCGTGAAGTATTATAGCTGTTTCAGATTCAGAAAAACGTGAGGTGTGAGGAGCTCTTTTCCATTAGTATGAAAAATCAGTGATGTGGAGCCAGGTATAAGTAGATTCATTCATAGTAACTTAAATAGAAATGAATGTCCAGTCTCACTTTCTTGTACAGGAGAGAAATTAGCATATTAAAAAAAAAAAATTAAGTCATGTAGTGAAACCTAATTATATTTGATAGAGTGCAGGTATTAAAACACCCTTTTTTGATCTGAATTAGTTCATGAATGCCATCTAAGCAGCTGTTTTTCTTGTATCCATAGACAAAATGGTCTTATGTGTTGTTCTTACTACTATGCTATTATATTGTAGGAATCACAGTCTTCTCAGTTGGTGTTGCCTGGGCACCTGTGGATGATCTGAAAGATATGGCTTCTGAACCCAGAGAATCTCATACTTTCTTCACTAGGGAGTTCACAGGATTGGAGCAGATGGTTCCTGATATTATTAGAGGCATCTGTAAAGATTTTTTGGACTCTAAACAATAAAGCAAATAGTGGTTGTTGGATATTACTTCTTTGAAACTAAAATCAGGAAACTGAGATGGTCCCTCTAAAGTACAAATGTTTTATTCTTATACCATCATAATATAAGGGAATAAGTTATGACGGGCTACATTCTGTTTCTGTGGTCAATCAAGGATTCTTGTGGGCTCATTAGAAGCTGTACTTGGCATGGGAAAACAGAATTTGGCCAACACCTATTAATTTCAATATCTGTATAGTATCTTTCTTACACTTAAGGCTATCAGATATCAGCTGTATGTATATAAAGAAAACATAACAGAGCTCTGAAACTTGTGCTGTCACTTCCTAGATGTCTTCTCATGCATTAAAATTAATATAATTTTAAATACACAGCATTAGCTTCTATGAGCCTTCTATAGCTTAAGACTCTGTATTTTTTCCAGGAGTTCTCTTGATAGTGTGAATATAAAACTAGCCATGGGGTAAAAAGATAGTAAAAATCTTTTTAGTGCTTCAGTTGTGCAACATCCACTATTGCCAGGCAGTTTATTAAGAAGATGGATGATAGCTTGTAGCTAGACGGTCTGTTTTTAACTAGTTGAAATTTTGGTATTTCGAATGATACTGCCATCTGGTTGGCAGAGTTTACATCAAAAGACCGTCTCACTTCTACCAGTCAATGCTCTTGGGTAATTTTGGCACAGACTTTCAAAGGTATTTAAGCACTGTAGTTTCTTTTGAAGAGCTGGGTCCTAACACATTAAGTAAGTGATACTACTACTTATTACACCGCTGAAGTCAGTTGCAATATTCCTACTGTATCTGATACTCTGGATGTTTTTCTCTCTACTGCCTTGATTTTACAAAGTTGTTATTGGCTAGACAGAGTTCAAGACGATGATCTTAGGCAAAAAGATTAAATTAGACCGTGTACTGGAAACTGAAAGCATTTAAATTGAAATCCAAAATTATCTTAAGCCTTGAAACTTAACTGGTTTATATCAGATTACTTACATGGCTAGAAGACAAAAAAGTAGGCAGAGACATAAGTGGGAATTGGTGGCTTACAGAATAACAATTTTCTAATGCTAGTAAAAGCATCTTTAAAGATGTATGAAGTTTTCTGAAGATGGCAAAAATAGTTTTCTGGAAAAATGGCTTTAAATTGATTATATACCTGGTAATGTGTTGCTATTTTACACCTCTTTGCATGTGGTTAAAATGATGCAATAATTCACTGAGTTTTTCCTGAGGCCTGGAGAGAACAATGGACTTCACTTTAAGTATTTTTTTTTTTTTTAGATAATTCATTTTTTTTCCAAGTAAAACATGCAGTAGTAAACAAAGCAGCACTTTCCTGTTCAGCTATCAATCGAGGGTTCCCTTTTGTTGTATTTTTGTGCTATTGATTGTAAAATTCTTAGTAGTTATGAATGGTACAGAAGGGATACATATTTATCAGGCTTTTGTAGTGTATTTTTTAATAACTTATGACTGGCTATATATTACACTAAATATGAATGGCAAGAATGCCTTGTATTTTTCTATTGATTGCTAACCTTTTTGTTATGTGTTTATAGATACAGTATTCAGCTATTGCTGTATAAATTCATATGCAACATCAACTTTGTGCAAAAGTTTAATTTAGCTAAAACTTTTTACAGAAGTATACACATTACAGGAAAACTGGGACTGCAGCTATGTATTTTAATAAGCTGTAATGTAAAAGTCTTTATGATGAAACTCATGTAGCAAAGCTTGAATAAGTCAGGTTTATATGATGTTTGCTTTACTGTTTGTATTATTTTTAAACCCCGAATTGAAAAAAAAGGGGGGGAGAGGGGAGAAAGAAATCCTAACTCAAATAACTCTTTGAGTTAGGAGTTTGTAATAACTAGCCAAAAAATATTTGCATCAAAAGCAAACTATACTACTTTATAACTTAACATTGCGATTTGGGGGGGAAGTTTGAGTGAGGAGGTTGGCAGATATCAAGCAGAATAATTTCATCAAAACAATAGTCTCTCCTACAGCTATTCTTAATTACTGCTGTTTGCATTTCATATTGGTGTTGTCACATATGTGACATATGTGTTCTCTTCTGCTATGTCCTCATATAATGCAAAATTGTATTTTCATCTCTATTCTGTAGAACAAAAGTGCTGACGTTTTAAGCCTTGATTTTAGGCCATCTTTTTAGCGGGACAACTCAATATCTTTACCAAGCTCTATCAAAGTCACTGCTTTTCAAATGCAATGATTCTAGCTTTTTTTTTTTTTTTAAGCACTTTCCTTCCTTTCATTAGGCTCAAGGGTATCTTAGGTTCAGAAAGCATCAAAGCCACAACAATTATAGAAAATTTCTCTGTTGCACTCAAGTGCCACAGAAAGCACAAGCACATTGTCAAAAAAGATCAACTTGAATCTTTAACAAAGTATCTGGAAATGGAGACTTAGATCCTCAGCCCGGTAGAATCAATCCAAAGGCTCTTACTGACTGGCTTTAGCTTGCACCTTGGACAGTAAACAGCTAGTTTTTCTGAGAAGCAGAAGTAGAAAATGTTTGAACAGCCTGCAAACAACTGTCATGCAAATATAGACATCAAGTATATGGAAGCTTCCACTGAGCAGTTTGTAATTCAGCTATGAGTAATTTTCCAGTTATATGTCTATCAATTGGAGCACATATTCTTTTGTTCTTTTTGGCTTCAATAGGAATTTTGCCTCTGGCTTCAGCTGAAGGAACAGTAAGTCCTGAAAATTTGCAGTCTAAAGGCTTAATTGCTTGTTTGAAGAAAACTGCCCACTATAAGTTTAATCTCATTAGGATCAAAATTTTCTTTCTGTTTGAAAGATTTGATTGTTTATCAAGCTTGGTTAGTGAAGTATTCTTGAGCATGAGCCAATTGCTTTGGCCAATTGCTTTGCCTGAAGGGCGTTTATTAAGTAATGGTTTTTATTACTCTAAAATTTATTTACATTTATCTATCTGTATCTAAATACAAATGAATGCTGTGTCTCTACTGCTGCTCCTAATATCCCACAACTGGAGTAGCCTGCAAATCCTAGCAGGGTTAGCTGAACTCTAGCCATGTTATCATCGTAAACTCTGACACACCAAGGGAAACAGTAGTGCTTTTGCCAGGTATTATTTTCAATACCTAAACATTTCTCACCAACCATAAATTAGTCAATGTGAAGGAACGTATTGTAAATAAATGCAGGTATCAATCTAGAAATAAATTTGTGCTGTCAGAACATAGGTAGTTTAATATATATCCCTTACATTCTATTTGTTTGGTAATCAAGGAGCTACATCTCCACTGAGGGATGAAGATACATCAGCATTTTTCAGCAACTATGTGGTGAAAGTGATGTTATGATGTGATGGCCTACTGAAGGATCTATCCCTTGCTTTGACACTAGTTTGCTAGGTAATCTTGGACAAATCAGTAACCGTTTCACGACCGAGGAAATAAAGTTAATGGTATTTAATATCTTTTGTAAACATTTAAAAGCCACAAAGGAAAACGCTAATGGAGTAAATATTCTAATGTAGTACATTTACTAGGATAAGGCACGTGCATACAATCTGAAATAGCTGATAAAATCTCCAAATTAATAAAACAGTGCCCACATCACTGAAAAAAAAATTTCACATCTTCTGAAAAACATTTTTTTAAACCATTCTGTTCTATAAATGGATGTCTAAACAGATGAAAGAAATTTTCTTTAGAAAAAAACAGCTATGAAAATAGAATTTAAGTTTCCATCTACAATTTCAATGCCTTTCATTACAAGACAGTTTTCCTTGCTATGGTATCTTACCAGGAAAGCAAAGTCATCGGTAGGTTTTGGGAGATATGCTCTGTGCCATTTCAAGGTAATGCAAAGAAACAGAAGAACTGTATGTCATTCCATTTATTTGAAGTGCTGACCAACAAGAGGAGTCAATGGATCATGCAGGCAATGGTACTGACCTGTGGGGCAGACTACTAGCACAGCTTCAGAAGGAGAGATTAGAAGTGACAACAGCTGAGTTCTGCTGGACTCAGGCACATCCATGGCTTCGGACCTATCCCGGACTTTGGCAGAATCAGGTGCTCAAGTACAGCACAGGGCAGCGCTACAAAGCCACGTCCTGCGTAACATTCAACTCCTGTACACGTGTAGAAACTTCCCCAGTCTGTAAAGTTTGGCGCATATCTCATGCCTAAACATGACTTGGCTTCAAGAACTACATGTTCTTAAGTCTCCTGAAAAGCCAACACGTCTACTACAACTCAAGGGAGCAGGTAACAGTGTTTCCTTGCTGCAAAAGTGCCTCATGTCACACTTAGGGCACTCTCCTGGAAGCCAAGCCCTGTAGGCTTGAACCCCACTCAACCTCAGAATGTAATTGAATTTACAACTGAACTTCTTGCTGGATCAATCCCTAAGATGCAGGCATGAGAATCCTGCATGGTTGTCTTTGTTAGCAAATGCTTGTTAAATGTTTTCCCAGCTTCCACTGAGGATAGATACAGCCTTTACTACTTAACAGTAATCAGACTATGGTAGAACATAAGCAAACAGATAAGAAGTATTTTTCTGCCCTGGTGAATGTGATCACATTACAAAGACGATAGACAATTCTGTGCCAAAGAATACAAGTAAAAGACTACAGCGTCAAAAGATTGAGCAAAGCCTGGAAAAGTTTAGGAATGAAATAACTTGAAATAGAGGGGAAAAAAAACCACTTACTAATTTACCACTACTTTTAAAAGTTTGGTAAACTTAAAATCAAACATATTACATCATAAAAATCATTCTTAATCAAAATCAAATTCAGAAATAAGTGATTTCAGGACTTCCCTGACACTTACTTTTCAGATGATGATAGCATATTATTAAATTACCCAAGAATAAGAGAGGGAGACAGCAACTTTCTCCCATCTAAATATTCTAAATGAGACAAAGTTTCAAACTTTGCTGTGCCAAACTCCTAATTCCAGTCAGGACAAGGAGCCAGTATGGAAACATAACAGAACTGTCTGGTGCAGCACACAGTCAGTGAACACATAAACAAAGACTTTACTTACTAATGATCTGATTTACTCAGATCTAAACACAAACTAGACTTAAAAACACAATTAAAAGAAAATGACCACATCCAGTTGCCTCTTTAAGAGCAAATAGCTGCTGGAAAAATAAAAAAAATGTTTCCAACAGAAGGATACTAAATATGCAACGTGGAAACAGATATTAGATCACTGAGACTTGCTGGTAACACTGCTGGCCTCTAAGAAATTATTTCATACAGGAAAAAAAAACCCATAGAACAAGTATTAGCTAAATCATCTTAACAGAGAACTACATTTATTTTTAGATTAAGATTGGCAGTATCTGTCACCTGGGTTATCAAAGGCAAAAAAAGTCAAAGGAGTAATTTAGGAAGTTAACTATAGCTCGTGTTATTGGAACAATTACTATCAATGAAGCGATACTCAACTTCATTTAAAGAAATGTACTAGTCATTAACATGCAATGTTACTACTAAGTAACATAAAAAAAATTCTAGGTGAGACAATCCAGGGGGAGAACCTAAGGCTACAGACAACTCCCAGGAGTACCAGGCACGCAAACTGGAGTGACAGCACAAATGTCAACATACCGCTACTTCTGAAGGGAAACGGCTGCATTCAGGGTGCCCGCAGGAGCTTGCAGGAGCTAATCATTAACATGCAATGTTACTACTAAGTAACATAAAAAAAATTCTAGGTGAGACAATCCAGGGGGAGAACCTAAGGCTACAGACAACTCCCAGGAGTACCAGGCACGCAAACTGGAGTGACAGCACAAATGTCAACATACCGCTACTTCTGAAGGGAAACGGCTGCATTCAGGGTGCCCGCAGGAGCTTGCAGGAGCTAATGCTGCCACCACTCGCTGTCAGGAGCAGCTGCTTTGCCCTGAGAGGCAGGACATGGCCTACCAGCTAGCTCACCTCCTGCCGGGGCCGGAGGCAGCAGCAGCAGCAGCCCTCAGGCCCCGCCAGCCTCCCTGCCTGCTGCATACAGGACTCTGTCCTCAAGAGACCCAGATAGTTTCTTGCTCCCAGGTCCTGCTGAGCCTTTGGAGAAGCAAGATCTTGCTTCGAGGCAACAGCTCTTCATTCCCACTAAGTTGCAAGTCCGACAGGCGTTCAGATGTAAAATGCCTCTAATCAACTGAGAAGCCTTCTCCTCGCATAAATTTTTTCTTTATTAAGAAAAAAACCCACACGTTTATTAAAAACAACAAAAAGAAATCCACCCATTTCAAGGTATGAACAACTGATGAGGAAGGACACCCAAAACAACAGGAAAAAAAACCTCTTTGTTGATTGAACCCTTCAAAAGAAAAAAAAAAAAGAGAGTCACCAGTACCGTACAACCCCCTTTAACCACCCGTCGTTTGCAAATGGAAAAACAAAACCTCACAACTCTCAGGCTCGGCTCGAGACGTTCCTACGCGCCACCACGCAACACCAGTGGCTCGAGCACCTCTCCCTGCTGCCCAGCTGCCACAGTCCCAGAAACCTCACAGGTTGGTGGCTCGAGAACAAGCGACAGCTCTCAACAGGTACACAACGAAGTCAGGCAGG